TGTTTTTAGATTTTAGCCTAAAAATAAAAAAAAAAAAAAAAAAAAAAAAAAAAAAAAAAAAAGAAAAAAAGAAAGGAAAAAAATTTATTTCTATGTATTTTAACCGTCACTATTAAATCCACCGTTCTTCTTTAATATCTNGCTTAAATATTAGTCTGAATTGTATTTTGGCATGTATAAAAATATAAACCAGATTTGTATGTAAAAGCCATTATTTTTCTTTTTTTTCCCCTGTTATTTTTCACTAGTGGAAACATTTATATTCAAAAGTATTCAGTAAAGCAAAGGAAAAGAAAACATTTACAACGGCACACTTCAATAACATTTACTATGAGACTGAGAGCTTATAAAACCCATCGTGGACTTATCTTTCATTTCACCTTCGCTGTCATAGCCATTAAATTAACTGAATAAAAAAAAGATAAACGGACACCTCAGCTGGGTACAGACGTCGATTGCTTTTTAACTAATCGTTTTAGTCACCAGCTTATCTATTTTGCTATCTCTATTACTATCATTTTTTATGTATTAAGCAGTTGTCAGCGTCGCTTGCTAACTGCGTTATTTTTGACGGTTACTTCACATTATTTTATTGAAACGTAAGGGCAAAATGGCTGACGAAACTATTACTACTGTTAGTCTCACAAAATGGCGTAGAACAAAGACCTAGGCCCCTGGAGGCTTTGTTGATTTTTTTGTGTGGACTTTGTACGTATTTTCACAGTAATGAATCCACATTTTCTTTGGCTAGTTTCACCAAACATTGTTTTAACACCCAACACACATTAAGGTTTCGTTCTCGTCTTTGGAACACGTTTTAAAGCTTGTCGTCTTTTCGTGATTTATGTTCTGACACCCACATCGAATGAAATCCACATTTTGACGTCGATTTGAAGACTTCTTTATTTAGACCTGAGGACAGATAGAGACATATTCCAAGAGAGGGTTTCTGATATATCACTCCAGTTCCTTCTCAAAAAAATTTACAAGGGGAACAATATGAGCCTGTCGGTCCCGTATCCATAGTAATCCAAGTCTGAGAACCACAGATGACGACATTTGCGTTTTGGTGTCTGGTCGATCCACCAAAATAGTAAATTGTACTCCCATGGGTTTAATGGATTTATAATGATATAAAGTTCCACATCAGGACGGATTCAGTAGGTTTGAGAAAGACGGTATCCGAAAGCAGCCGACTGCAGTGAGGGTGCTGGAGTGACTGTGAGATTCTTGACACCTCCTCCGGAGAGTTCCAGACTGTTCTGGAGGCCTCTGATAGGCACGCGGGGCGCATGCGCACAGCGCTTTCATAGGCTTAATATAGTAACAAAAGCAGAAAGATGTGGTGCCATGGAGACAGAGCTTTTTCAAAACACCTCTGCATAAAAATGTTTCATACAGGGCTGAACTGAGCTCTAGGCACGATGCGCTTATGTGACAGTAAGGTGATAATTTAGACAGATGAGGGCATTTATAATTAAAATGATAAAAATCTACTGAGAAAATAGAATATACACTTTATTATTTGTATATAAAGGAAAATACAATACACTATATTAGATCTTCTGATCTCTATTACTGTAGACCTTTGGACAAGGGGATTAGTCTATGTTACTTATTAGCTTAAAACAGCTCAGACCTGGTCAGAGTTCCTTATTTAATAGCCCTCTTCACGCTTTATTTGTCTTGCAGGGCATTTTGTGTTGTATAACAAAGGCAAATAAATAAACACAAGAACAAAACAGCCAGATTATAATCAATTTGGTCATATTGATTGTGTTTTACACATGTATTTTTTACAGCAATATTTTTTAAAGAGAGGCATTTTCCACATATCAAGTCTTATGTACATACAAAACATTTGGTCAACATCCCAACCTGCAAACTGTTCCACTGTGTCTTTTAATTAGTACTTCTGCCACGCTGATAATAAATTTGCCTAATTTATTTCTTTGTGAAAATCAACTCCTTAGTTTATTGCATGCATCACTTCTTAGGATTGATCTGTTACAAACAATTTTATTTTCTGCTATGCACAAATTCTGGTTATGAACACTGATCTCTGAAACAACTCTCCCAATTTGTGGTCATTCCCACAAATCAGTTTTGCGGCATGCCTAGAAGCCTGGGAAATAGGCCATGTCTGGAAAAAAAAGGAGATGATGAAATATATTTGTATTTCCGTAATTTTAACCAGCTCCATTGCCTAAAAGCATCCGTTCCGTCTGTCCGTCCATCTCTCCCTCCCACCCACCCAAAACTCCAATATTCAGAACTTAATAATCGTGACCATTTGATTTTACACATACTATTATAGACCTAAGTGTTGGACCTTTGAAAATTCTCACTGTTATCTTTATCAGGGCTTGGAGATAAATTCTGGGACAACTGTGTTGTACCCTCTGAATGTGCAGCAGGCACATTCACTGGCATTTTAAGGCTTTTGGTATTAATGTTGAATAAAAAGATTACCCTGTTATGAGATTGTTTCCTGCTTTTTTTGTTTGTGCTGACCAAACACTGGCAGCAAAATGCCTCCCAGGTAGCATTTTTAAAAAGCCTCCTGTTAAGGAGAAGTCAGACGGGCGGCAACTATGTGGTGGACTAGAACGACATGTTCTGTTTACGTCACTTCTCCTATAAATGTCAGTGAACTGTGACTGCCTCCACTTGCAGGTCAGATGAGCTTAAGCATTATTCAGTACTATGACTACTCCGTATCTGCACAATGCATTGACGTTACAGCAACAATAGCTCAACTGTTAAGGCGTCAGAAATGCTATAGCAAACACCAGCCTGTTACTTTCTTACTTATTCTGCAACACATATTATTAATTAGGTCACATACTATATGTGAGCAAGACAAACTGGGTAAAAGGGGGATTCATATTTCAATGTCAAGAGTTTCTTCTGGAGATGTCTGTCCTTGTTGTCCTACAGTGATTATCGTCGTTGCTAATATCTTTGGGTTAGTTCACCCCAACACCATTTTGCGCAAACCTACTTCTGTGATATAAGTGTAAAGAAAAATAAGCAAACAAACAAAAAAAACATGTACCTAGCAACAGTAGCTTGGGATGACAATCTGCCAATGAGATAAAAAATGGTTATAATCCCAATGGATGCTTGTTATTTTTCCCTTTTGTAGATCATATATGACTTTTTAAGGTATAACATTAAATCAATCTCATACCAGCACAGCAATTTATAGTTATCAAGCAAGTAATTTTTCTATGTTATATTCACAGGAAATGTATGTTTATGACCTTAATAATTATCCTTGACCAACAGTCAGGGATACTGTAGTATTTGTCAAAATCAACTAGTTCAACTCTGGATCAGAACTAAAGTAAATCAAAACAGTAAAGCATCAAAATACTCTTGAATGTTTTAGAATTCTGATGACTAACTTCATAATTTCTAAAAACAAAAAATACTTGAAAATGAATAAACAAACTGCTACACGTGTACAAACTGATTTGTTAATCAGTGCCAAATGAAAGCAGGAACTGATGAAACAGATGGATTCAAAATTCAAAAGTATACATTGACGAAAATTGACAATTTACCCGGTGAAAAACTTTATTTTTACCATTTTCCAAAAAAAAAAAAAAACCAATAAAAGAAAAGATTGTATTTATTTTTTTTATTTACCTTGACTTTTGGATGTTATCTCAAGACTCCCAGCTTAGAGTCTCCAGACCCAAGGAGAGGTCCTGATCACCACCTTGAAAGCCACACTATATTTTAATCAACTCAAGTTACTTATTAGAAGCTTATCTGTTGAGACAAAATTAGATTCGTAACTTGTTGCAGACATAAGTCAATCTGCGTCAGAAAACTAGAAACTTTTAACATGCTCTGATAACTAATGATCAAAGTTTTTTGTTTCCTAAGACAAAAATCTGACAAAAAGCTCTCAGAAGCTTAGAGAAGTTCCAGCTTTGTAATATGATAGGATGCCATATGTGCAGCGAGTCCGGTTGTAAAATTTCCTCAGAGCTAAAAATGCCACACTCAACTGGAAGCCATTGGGAACAATGACAACTCAGCCCTGACATGCTAAGCCACATAGAATCAGCCAATGGCCACTGAGGAACAACTTTCAAAAGGCCTTCAGGCCTCAAAACTTCATTATACCTCAAGAGCAGCTCAAGAATAGTAGAATTTGTGGGTTTCCATGGTTGAGCAGCGAGATCCAAGCCTGCAATGCAACTAGATGCAGTTATTTAAAAAATGATTCGACTGAAGTGGAGACATATTTTATGGAGAGACAAAGCACAACTCTCCGTCTGACAATCCATTGGATAAGTTGGGGGTTTGGGAGTTGGCAGGAAAGCAACACTTTACACAATGGAGTCAGGAAAGTTGAGTACAGAGGGAATTGTGGTGGCCCCTTAGTTTCAGGGAGTCTTCATGCTTCAGCATACAAGTAAATGTTTTGAATTTGGCATTGAGGAACTGGTCTGCTCCAAGCCCTGTTGACAGAGCACCGTAGGGATGAATCAGATTGGAGACAGCCATCTCATCCAACATCTGTCACTGGCCTTACATATATTCTCATGAAAGGATGGTCAAGTGTCCAGTCTTCTGTGTTGCCTAACCATATTCTGCTCATTTTACCAATTCATGTGAAATATGGGATTGTTCCCCTGTTGTACAGCAAGTCTAACCCCAGCAACGTAGGGAAACCAGATCCCCTGATACTGCTTCAAAGTTGCCAGGAGAGAAAATGTGTGTTGCAAATGTTTCTCTGTGTTTTGTAGACAAACATTTGCAAATTGCATGTGCCTTATTTCAAACATGATTATTCAGATTATCCAGACATGTAGAGCTTTGGTTTGTGGTCATCAGCTGCAGGTCCACCCATCTATTTTTCAACCCATTAAAATTGGATCAATCACAGCTTAAACAAGAGATGCTCTGCTCAAATGATAGACACCTTCAGTCTGCGTTAAACATGGAGTTAGACTGTCTAAGACCTGCAATATGTGCGGATATTGCGCAATCAAACATTCTGGAGGTATGTTTTGTGCACCGGTAAGCATAAAACGAGCTCGATTTAAATAAATAAATAAATAAATAAATAAATAAATAAAATAATCATTCTACAAATTTCAAACATAGTCTCATTTGCTTTGTATTCAAACTGCCTCGCCTTACTGTATTTAACAGGCACTGATGGGATCCTCCTGCGAGCTTCTCAGATGTCAAAGCACCATCGCTCAACCAGGGGTTTTCTCACGCATGCGCACGGGCATAGAACTATCTCATCGGGAAGAAGGAAAAAAAAGAAAAGAAGTTCACACACAAAGCCACGCCTGCGCGGTGTGCCTCTCATTTACAAGCGAAGTTGCTGCATCTTTTTAGGAAGCTACATGCTTTCTTTCGACACCCAAAGGTCGCGTGGTGTCAGGGACGCGCCTAGTCACGGGAACAGAACCGGAGCGCGTTCGCGAGGAGAGTGCAAGCTCGCGCCGCTTAACAGCGAGGAGAGTATCAAACAGCGTGCAGGGGGATCCAGCCTAATGGTTTACATTGGGTCACAACGACCAGTCAATGATTTGCGGCAAGCAGGCTACGGTCCTTTTCTCGCCCGGCTTTTATTCTGCAGATCTTTTGTATTTTGCACGGGGAGAAACTGACACAGCAAACTCATCTGTATGATCGGGGAGCAGGAGCACACAGTATGGTCCGGGAAACCAGACATTTATGGGTGGGAAATTTACCCGAAAATGTACGAGAGGAGAAAATTATTGAGCACTTCAAACGGTGAGTACGAATATTGTTAGGATGTGTGTACATTTTTTTTGTTATTTTCATTATTATTGTTGTTATTATTATTATGCACGGCCAGCATCTCTCAGTCTGTGCTGTGAGATATTTGTAAGCGAAGTCGGGATGAAGCAGGAGGTTTCCCCCTGTAGCGAAGTCCCATTTGGCAACTGTGCTGTCAGCTTCCTGCGTTTTCAGCGGAGACTCATCCACTCGGCTCGCAGACATATGGCCACAGCCACTCCGCTTATTGCCTGCTATAACTTGCCTCCCGTTCACGTTGGACTGAGTGCACGTTTTCATCAGGCTTACAGGCTGACTTCAGTGCAAGCCCACCTTTGCTCCCGATCGCCGCAAAGGAAGACACAGTAAGGCAATGTAAACAAACCCCAGCCTTGCCGGAGGGGGCTGGAGAGCAATGCATTTTACAGCCTGGATCTTGGTGGTTCTGATGTTTGGGCTTGACTTTGTCTATCTCAGACATTGTTTCCCAACCAGACATTTTTTTATTATTATTATTATTTTGCACAAAGTGTGCTTGATTACCACTGTAAATCTTTCGGAGTCCTTAGTATCCGTCTACAACGCCCCCGTACCCCTCCTTGCGAGCCCCCCTCTCCCCAGAAGTGACGCGCCGTTCACGCCGCAGCTTTGTTGCACCCACCCCGGCTGTGGCTGAGCGGTGATGCCGTGCCGCTGATGTGCAGCGCTGGAGCACACAGTCTGTGGCAGGCTACTTGTGTTTATTTTCGTGCGCAGAAAAAAATGGTCGTATCCCCCCCTCCACCTCCTTCGCCTCCCCCCCTCCCATGAAAACCGCGTTTCTTCCCTGCTGCTGCTGACTTGCACAGCCCGCAGGGTGTTGCGACTCAAGCCAAATCAGATCCATATTTTCTTAAATTAGCCCGTTATTCTTCTTCTCGCTGCAATGTTCGGCTTCAAAGCGGATGAGAAACACCTATCAAGCACTTAACAACGTTTTAGCTCTTTGTTGTCTCTTTCTGGACTGGAAAATAATAATAATAATAATAATAATAATAATAATAATAATAATAATAATAATAATAATGTTAATTTGGGGCTGAGTGTGTCTGTGGGATATCGCGGTCTGTCTGTGCGCATTCTCTTTTCGGGGCTGTCAAGGAAATAGCAGCCCCGCTTCTCCGTGCATATGTTGGAAACCAGACAGCTCAAAAAAAAAAGAAAGAAAGAAAAGAAAAAAACTAAACGTCGCGTTTCGTTTTCACTTCACAGACGCCGCCATATCTGATGAAATCCATAAAAACGTCGACATATGGGCTAACCTAAACAACAACAACAAAAAAGAGAAACAATGTACCAAAACATTGATGCAAAAATGCATCATTCCTATCAAATCAATGCAATAACCTGCTGCTGTCGATGGCTTTTGTTTTCGTACTGGTTTGATGCAGTGAGGGGACAGAAAAGGAGAAGCTTTATGTCTGATTCATGCTGCTCCGCAGACCGCGCTGTAATAGGCTTCCTCTCTATATGCCTTTTTATTTACATAATCCCTTGATATGATGTGCGTAATGATATGGTTTTTTTGGGTGGGGGGTGGAGGGAGATGGTGGTGACTGGCAGGCTGGTACTGCAGCAGCAGAGTGTGGTGGGGGAAACGGTGCTGGCGAGTCATTTTCTGCGAGCCTATGCCTCAGCCCCTGCGTTAACCCAGAGGTAGTCGGGGTATGCAGGTGCATGACAGCCCAGTGTGTGATAGAAGTCATTGAAGATGGGGGACGGCAGAATGAGTAAGCAGTGTGAAAAGCTTTTCTAAAATGGCGTCGGGGGCAGTTCGGTGTTTGGGAATCGGGATGCCAATAAATTTAGAGGTACCCTATTGACTGTGTCAAACAGCAAAAACGCGCTTGTGATTACTCCAGTCCAAGAAAGAGACACAAAGCTTTGTAACTGCTTGGGCTTATAAATTTAATAGATTTGATATTTGAATGACAACAACTATGAATTTGTCATTCATAGTTTTATTAAAGGCAAGTCGAGGAGTAGATGCTGTTCTGCCGGTATATTTTTTAGGCATGGTCCGGATACCGGTGTTGAGGCGTATCGCGGTTTTTAAAATGTTATAGCTACAAAGCTACAAAATAAGTCCAACAAACAAACAAACAAACCATTGCAACCTTTACAAACGTTAAAGTAATTTCATTAAGGAGTCAGAAAAATAGTCCCCAGAATTTTCTCTGACTATATGGAGTATAAAGCTGTTCTACCTTTCTCCTGTCTATTGCTGCACATTGCCATCAGCTGGCTGAAAGAAGACTTGTGTAATTTTCTCCCAGGAGAAAGCGAAATTTAGATGTTTGGAAAATGTTCTGCTCACAAAAAACAGATAACCCCAATGTGGAAATGAAAGACGTGACACTTATCACTTTAATCTAAAAAAGTGCAGTTTTAAAGTTAGTATAGGGAAGTAATGAGTGGCATTGCAGTCAGTTGTAGGCTTGCTACTCAAGTTGCGATAACTACCGCTATAACCGGTAGCTCTAGTTGACCTATTACGACCAAAGTTGCGACTGCAGCAAGAACACGTAGGAATGACAGCAATTCGATTTTTTTTATAGTTAATATCTTTTGTGGCGTCTTTCAGCAGCACAACTACACATTAGTTAGTACTGGAAGCTTTTAAGCTAATGGGCAGTTCGAGAGAGGCAGAGACCGAAGTGAAATTCTACCACCTTAAAACAACTCCAGTCTCAAAATAATTATTGTGGTTTATGCAAAGTGTATTTTCTGAACCTTTAAGCTATTAATAGTTTTGCACTGGGCAGTCGTTGACACAAAAGTTGTTGATTATTTACTCTAGAATAGCAGCTAGGAAGTAGTGTACTACTAATGGTCTTCCTGTGTGAAACACATCTAGAACTCAGTGTTTTTGTTCAGAGTTGCACTCTGATATAAAAATAAAGTGGTGTAAAAAAGACTAAAATATTGTAGCTTAGAGTACCAGAAATAAAACAATATTATTATTAGGGAGTTGAGACTCTGGTAACACTTATGTTCTATTTTCAGACCAAATATTTTACACAGGAAGAATATTGGTGGGGCACCAGCTTCTACCTCCATTTGCTGTGTAAATAATTGTCAGCTTCTTTGTAATAAACATCCCAATGCTGGTGTGACAATAGCTGAAAGGCTCATAAAACAGTGTTTGCAAAAAATCTATATGTCGTTTTGAGACTGGAAGGTGGTAGAAGTCTACTGCAAATAACCTTTAAGGTGTTGTGAGCTATTCCTTTAAGACGTTACATCACTCCAAAATCAGCTAATTTTGATTATTATCAGTTGTGCAATGACAGAAATGTCTATAAACAGCTTAGACGTCTGTATTTTTTTTAACAAGAACACAATACACAACAACTCATTGACGTGCTAAACAACAAATACACGTTAGATTTAACTTAGAACATTTTCTATTCAAGAAATGTAATTTTTCTCCCCCATTTTTGTCTGTCTGACATGTTCTTTTGTATTTTTTTCATGCCTGTATGTTTATTAACATGCGGCGTTTCAAGGTTCAAGTCTAGTTGCTGGGTTACTGTTGCCTTGTAAGAACGAGGGATTGAGTGGAAAGCAAGAGTAACCAAACCACTGTACCTCCCCCAGCGTCTCTCACACACACTTATTCGGAATTGGAGAATCACAAATAAACCGTAACAACTGAATATTTTTACACTGTAAGCGATAATGCATTTTCACTTGTAACCTTGATTTCTAACATGTTTTGATCACTTTGTCTTCCTCCTATCCCCACTCCCTCAGATATGGACGAGTGGAGAGCGTCAAGGTCCTGCCCAAGCGAGGCTCAGAGGGTGGAGTGGCAGCATTTGTGGATTTTGTGGACATTAAAAGTGCTCAAAAGGCTCACAATGCAATCAACAAGATGGGGGACAGAGACCTGCGCACAGATTACAATGAACCAGGAACAATTCCTAGTGCAGCGAGGGGGCTGGATGATAGTCTGTCCTTAGGCTCACGTGGCCGGGATGTGTCAGGGTTCACAAGGGCGACAGGGGGGGCCGTGTATGGGCCCCCCACGTCGCTTCACAGCAGAGATGGACGCTATGAACGCAGACTAGACGGGTAAGTGGAGAAAGTTCGTCCTCTGAAGACAGAGCGAACCGTGGTTTGTGGTAAACGCCTTTCCTCCGAGCATCTTTCCACCATCTATTCATTTACTTATTTAGAGGTACAGAGTAGAAATCATGTTTCAGAATGAAAACTGCTGAGGATAATCTTTAAAGTACCCCCAAAGGGTAGTCAGAGCTCCTGGATTCACACTCAGTGTTTTCCTAAATGAAAACGTGTCTGTACACGAGGTTCATCCGTCGGCTGTTATGAGCAGATAGGAGTTCAAACAGCTGCTGGGGATCAGGTTTGTTGTCTTGGTCATCTCTGTGAGTCGAAATGATCAAATGAGGAAAACACGGGGCAAAGATTGGATACCGCAAAATTTCCCAGGATTATTGGAAGTTACTGGAGAGAGGGAAAAAAAAAGAGGGAGAGAGGGAGTTAAAGAAAGAAAGAGAGAGAGAGTGGTCCAGCGGCCATCCCTGGGATTCCTGTAAATGTGGAGCTACCTGCCCTGTTCAATGGATTAATTTCACCCATCTTTTCTTCATGTAACAAATCAACCAAGACACCAGCACACATTACATGTATAAGAGCCCATTGTCTGGATTAGTCTGATTTGGTTTCTCACCTCACGGAGGTGCTCACGTCTCTCGTGGGTTGGAGTTATGCGGATACCCTACACAGGATATTTATTCCCTACTGCTGGATTAACAATGGCATGACACATGAAGAATGTGTCTTCGTCCTAAAGGTATGGTTTGCATTCTCCCTTTTTTTTCATTTATTTGTGTACTTTTTTTTGTTCGTTTAATTTTGGGATTATATCTAATCAGGGCATTACAAATTGAGCATTGGGAGACCTCTACTGATGAGTCAGCACAGTAGAGACAACAAAAACAAGTGAGCAAAAGACTTTTACCCCTCCCCCCCACACCAGATTTTTTTTGTGGAGTTTATTTTTATATTGCAAAAGTTGAGGATCAACTTGGACTACATTTGGATCGTATAAATAAAGAGAGATGCTGGAAGTAGTTTTGACTGGAGTGTTTAAATGTTGGTTCTAATGGAGAAAACCCATACCTCTCCTTTGTGGATTAACAGCTCCTCTTCTAACTGTGGAACTATAACTGAACCATGGATACAATTAATCAATCGGACAAAAGTAGAGGACTAAGCTTTACCTTTGGACCGCATTCACAGAGGACTTAGTTTGAGATTGGAGAGCACACAAACTCTTAATTGTGAAAGAAACGGAAGATAGTCAAGAGACATAAACATCAAGGAGACTTTGAGTCGTTATTAGTGCTGCCTACCTGTGGAATGACAGTACTTTAATCTGGATTACATTTTTACCCCTCATTTACCCCCCGTAAACCTTCCCTGATGTGCAATAGGAGTCTGACTGCTTTATGGATGTGGGCTTTACTACCACAGTGGATGTTAAGAAAAAACAGAAGGCGATCATCACTGCAGACTCATCGATCAACTTTCTAAAGATGGACTTCTGGATTTATCTGGACTTAAAGTGAAACTGTTTTTTTTTTTTCTTTTTTTTTTTTTTTCTCCAGTGGATTTGTGAACTCAGACATATTCCAGCATCAAAAAGGAAACGCTGAATCGGATCACTGAAGGAATATTTGAACAAAACCGAACATTCCGGCTGGCCTGAAAATGAGGATTACGTTTTGAAATGTGAACATTTGTGCTTCAGAGTTTTCTTCTTTTTTTTTTCTTTTTTTTTTTTTGTTCCACCTCCACTCAGCATTTTTTGCCATGTTTTTGCTCACAAAGTTCTATCTCCCTAAATTGTATTTGGAATTGTAGGTCAAGTTACCACTCTCTCAAAAGGTTGGTATGCCCTGCCCTGTGTATTTTAGCTGTCCTCTCTAACCCCTTAGTTTGATCCCCTGTCTCTCTCCATTTCCTCACTAACCAAAGTAGCTGGTGCATAGATTTACTGCCTTTTGAAACATGTTACTCTACCTTGTATTATTCTCCTTTTTCTTCCTCTTCTTACCTTACCTCACCCTCAGCTCCTGGCCCTCCACCCCCGGCTCTCTTGTCTTTGACGGATTCTTAATCAATGCAGGTTTTGACGATACTCCATAAAACAAACAAAAAACATATAAACACATTTATGCAGATAAAGTCGCTTAAAAGGAAATGTCAAGAAGCAATTCACTTATTAGACTGATAATTAAAAGATTTTAAATTCCTAATGAATTAATTCAAAGTAATTTTCCTTCTCACAACTTCTAATGTTCCCTGAAAAAACGTAACTTTTTTTTTTATTGCTTATTTCTTGAAACAGCTGTGTGGCAGAACATCGAGTCAATCCCAGAAACTCCCCCAGGATCTTATCCTTACAATTTAATAGGCAACATTTACATCACAGAAACTTCTTTAAGCAAACACTCTCCGGTGATTAGGATCAGCTCTAAATTGGAAGTACTTCTGCATATCTACATGTTAAAATCAAGCTGTTAAAAGGCATAATAAAAATGTAAAAAATAAATAAATAAAAATACAGGGCAGTGTTAACCAAACGTACAACAGCCAATATGAAAAAAGCTTAAATATTCAAGAAAAAACTGGTATCTATCTATCTATCTATCTATCTATCTATCTATCTATCTATCTATCTATCTATCTATCTATCTACCTATCTATCTATCTATCTATCTAATTTTGTTATCCTACACATAATGTTGAAAAAGATTCTTCTTTTGAAATTATTCTTATTGCGCTTCACCCGCATATTATTTTTTGACATTCTCTCCCACTGTTTTCCCCTTTGTTGCAGATTTTACGGTGTAGCATACGGTAATGTTGCAAGTCATCGAGCGCATCATCCATTTCAGTATCGAGCTCACCAAATTGTCAGTTTGATGGATTACACTGATTTGTAACCTGGATGAGCACAAAAGACACACTCTCGTTTCAGCTGGTTTGTTTCCAAATCCAATTTCAGGTGTTTCCTGAGAGAATACTATAACTGGCTTTACTTCACTACTACTATCAGAAAATCACATTACTGCAGATTATTATTTAGTATGTAAGAACAACAATGTAGAGTTTGTCACTCTGTTTTTGTCATGACTACGCTTAGCCAGTAGCTAGGCGTAGCCGTTTCAAAAGATTCTGAACGCATTGTTGCTATATGACTGAGCCCACATATATAAGCCTCCTTTTTATTATGCAGCAGGAATGAATCCTCATGAATATGCTGCTCACGTAGAACCAAAACAGTTGATGTGCTTTGCATGCGCCCGAGTGGACTAATAATCACACACTGATGGAAATTCTGTCCAAAGGTGAAAAAGGAAAAAAAAAAAAAAAGAACTGATTTTTAAAGCTCTATGAATAATGTAAAACCTGATTTTTTTTCTTTTCTTTTTTTGATGTGAAAATGAAGGGTATCTGTTGAGCACTGGGCCCGAGCCACCAAATTACCATTTTAGAGAGCATCTAGGGGTCAAGCTAATCCATCAATTTCACAGCAGACATCCTTGTGCCATACGTGCTATTCATGAATCCAGAACGCAGACGATCCAATCAAATAGGCCGAAACAGAGCTCGCCCCCTGACCCTCTTGTACTTCTTATGTATCGTGCCATGAAAAGACTCGGCGCTAGTCTCCTTATAACGCTGAACATCTAGGGCACGGTATAAAGTTCACACAGTGTTCTGCTCTTTTATGCAAGGCTTTTATTTATGATCCAAAATATTTTGTTTTCATTTTGCCCATATCAGCACAGAGTTGTCATAAAGGGATTTATGATCTTAGTACAAAGGGTTCTATCAAAGTCCTCTCATCAGCGGCAGTAAAACGAAGGCGTCAGGTGCAAAGGCCAGGTTGAGCCCTCGCTAATCATTTACCAAAATCCCCCTTCAGGACATTGTACGGGGCCCGGTGATGCAGAGGAAGATGCTTGTGTAACAATATCATTAGAGAAATATATCAGGAGCCTTTGATACCACTCGTCCTGCGGACCTCTAAAGGTTCAAAGGACAGCAGAGAGATTTACCAATAAATGTGCTTGTATGATAAAGTAACAGTTTGATTTGAATCCATCTGGACAAATTCTTAAACATTTTCATATTTTCATTTTGTTGAAAGAACTCCCTCATTTAGCTGAAACGTCAAGGAGAGACATCGCATTTTAAATTGTACGGCACAACGAAAACAAATTATTTTCTGGGAAACAATAGCCGTTGTTTCCCAGAAAAATATCTGACTGTAAAAACATAAAAAAAGAGAAAGAAACAGCAGTTAGATAAAAATTGTAGTGAGAAAAAAGGAAAAAAAAAAACAGCACATTCTGTCCAGGGGGATTCATTTCCACCTCACTGCAGCTCTGGACAGGATAAATTAGGTGGAGAAGATAGTAGGCTTTTGCCATCCTGGGAAAAGAATGATAGCTTTTATCTTATTTGATATCACAGTTGCTACTATTGAAAAAGATCTAAAAAAAAAATTAAATCCTTTTTGAATATGAGCCGGAGTTACGGTAAATGTGTAACATGTGGAGAGGCTGCTACAACATGACACTTCTATTCCGATCAATACAAGCGACTACAGCAGGCGTGAGAGCGGACCACGAGTGTGACAGACAGCCAGTCTGCCCATGTAAAAATAGCCAGCCTCTTATTTGTAATGTTCTTTATATAATGCTTACTATTTAGGCCATTCCATAATTTTTTTTTGTACTGAATGCTGGTTGCTAAATAAGTTCAGTAATTTTCATACGGTTACTGTAGTTTGAATTGAGGGAACCTACAAATCTTACACAAGTCATTTCAAGACATTGCTGTTACAGGTTTGAAAACTTCAGATTCATCCAGAGCTGCAAACAAAAACCACAGGGCTAGGGCCAGCATAACCAGTAAAGGTATTCATTCTGAGGCCCAGACGCTGAAGTTTAATAGTTAGGGCCCTTATTAGTTTTGTGAAAGCTAATCTTTGCTGAACAAATAGCGTATATTAAAAAAAGGTACATTCTGAAAATAATCCTGCACCAGAATAAATGAATTCTCTCTGTAAAGGATAAAATTTAGGATTGCAAATTATACAAACAAAAAAAATGAACAATAAATGCAATTTTTGTTTGCAATACATAATTTATTCATAGTGTAACATCTTGAGGGTTTGCCACTACGTTATTATATGTATTAGTTTCTTGATATATATATTTTTTTGGTCTTTTATAACTTCATAATGTATGTTCTTTCTAGGGTGAGGTAGACAGATACTATTTTAAGCTACTGACTGTTTCTGTTCCTTCTTTCACAATTACAAAAATGTGACCTTCATAAGCAGCTACCCATAATTTTTATTTATTTATTTTTTGAAAATGAAAACCCTAACTTACATTTTTTTTTCTATTTCTCGGTTTTAACCAAATCTAAAAACCCATCCATCTATTTTGCAAAGTCCCGCTATAATGAGGATCTTAAGTGTCTTTGGATGAAAACCATTCGGCCTTGAGTTGGAACAGAGCGCCTAATTTGCTGCTTATAATTCGATCTGATTTCAAACAGCAGTAATTGCTGTCCCGTCCCGCTCATTATGGTGAGTTTTGTAATATGACTCCCCGTAATGACAAATCACTTGTAGTACCATTTTAAATTCTGATTGCTGGATTTAGAAGGGAGATGTTTCAAGTTTGAACAAAATGTCCTCATTAAAAGCTTTTTTTTTTATGTAGATGCCAAAAAACGTTGGTTTGTAGAGGTTGTTTTTAAAGATCTAAAGGTATCAGACTGTGTAGTTGTGACTTAACGGCGTATGTGTTATTGGCTAAACAAAAATCCTCAGCAAAATGATAAAACATGCCAACATGGCTTGTTTGTGGATGACAAAGGAAACGATTATATTCAGTCTTCAAGTCACAGGTGCTCACTTGTCTTATCAGGAACATATTTAACCCTTCTTCTAGTTTTGTTGGTAGATTAGTAACTCATTTCCCCTTGAAATGCAAACGTCTTTCTCAATTCTTCTCAAACATTTTGCTCCGTCTTTCCCTGTGTCTAATTATGGCAACCCCCTTATTGTATATAACAGATCCTGTTGATTGTCCACCAACCTTGAATGATAAAACTGCAAAGTAACTTGGTTTCTCTTTGTGTTTGTTAGGACTGCGGAAGGTCGGGAACGGACATACGATCACACCACCTACGGACATCATGAGCGACCTGGTAGCAGCTTCGACCGTCAACGGCACTATGAAACAGACTATTACCGTGACGCAAGAGAGAGGACTCTTAGCAATGCTGGAAGTGGGTCTGGCACCACTGGTGGAAGTAGTACAACTGTGCCGTCAGGTGTCAGTGGAACTATAGTTGGTCCCGTTTCTGGAAACACGGGAGCCGGCGGATCGGCTGGGGCGTCGACGGGAGGGAGCGCAGGATCTACTTCCAGTGGGGTCGGCTTCTACCGCTCCCACAGCAGGAGTCCGTGTCGATTTGAGGCGCCCGAGCCTCGCTACGAGTCTCGTTCCAGGGAACCGTTTACTTTGGCCAGTGTGGTTCACAGGGACCTATACCGGGATGACCGGGGACGGCGTGTGGAGAGGTCATACCGCCACAGTCGCAGCCGATCTCCACACTCGACGCATTCGCGAAATCCCTCGCCTCAGAGACTGGTGACTCAGACTACTCGTCCTCCACGTTCCCACAGTGGGTCAGGATCTCGCAGCCGCTCATCCAGCTCAGACTCAGTCAGCAGCACCAGCAGCAGTACGAGTGGCAGGTGAGTGAATTATGCAGTCAGATTTTTTAGTATTTTTTATTTCCCTTGTGAAATTATTAAGTACTATGCACGGAAGTAAACCAAGATAATAAGTGTTTTATAGGAACTAAATGAAAGTTGTATTTCCTCATTAAATGCCTTCATCAGCTATGTTGACCTCAAGAAATTGTGCAACATCTCTTTTTAAGTTCATAGCATATTTTCAAACAAGATTGTGCAAGATGTCTAAAAATGTAATTCCTGCCAGTGGCGGAGATCTAATCTACGTCAAGAATGCTGCTTAAGATTCGTTTTGCACTGGTGTTTGTATAATCCAAAGCTAATACTTGAGCATTTATTTGACGGTGTGTTTTTTTGTTGTTGTAGTATATTGGTTTCCAAATGTAGAAAGCAAATATTGACAGACATGGGCAGATTTAGAACATATGTTTTTTGGGGGGTTTATCAAGAGGTTACAGACTTGATACTCCTAGTGACAGGTTTGGTTTTGTCACAGTGAATGAAGTGCACAAATGCCCCCAATCTCTCCACATCTCCATTCCCAAATTGCCATATGCCACATGCTGTGATATCAGCAATTAGCAATAAACTGCCATAAAAGCAATATAATAGCTAAATGCTATAGAAGACAACATTTACACAGTAATGACATATGCCAACGCTCATGCCTTATGAAGCATATGACTTTATGTTATTTGTATGTACCCTAGATATGATGATGAGTAATTTAAGGCAGTGGTGTCACGCCAAAATTACATCTCAATATTATGAACCTCTTGTCTCACTGTATCACTCTTGTATCATTATATTCCTACTGGAAATGGTTCTATAAAGCATAAAACTGTATTTAATGGTAGCTAGACATTTAGGGCTTACTTTTATTTCCTAAATGTATTTTTAGGCTACTTACCAGGCCTAAAAATAAAATGTGTAATATTTGCTTACTGTGTATTTAGGCAGCCACACATTACATGATGAAAACTGAAATCCAAACAGCAGATTTACTGCTTTGCTTATGATTATGAGCAATTGCGGACAAAGTTCAAATTTAGCCAAATGTGCCTCTGATTTACTGCTTGTGCCCAAGCTTTAGACTTTCATGTGTCCAATAGCAACCATAGCAATGTTCCCATTTCCTGTATTCAATCATTTCTGAGGAGCTGCCATACAAATATTACATACCAATGTCCTGCAGGTAATGGATTTTATATTAATTGGCAGAAGTGTTCAGTTGGTGATGCCGACTCATTTCACTGGTAGTTGCATTGCAAATGGGTTTACGCAAGAAAAAGTAAAGGCACCCTGAGGTTTTTCTGCTTGATTAATGCCTCACTTCAGGTGCTCTGTCTGCATGTTAGAACATTTATTTGAAGGCACACGTTGCCAAGAATAGATACTGCCTGTCACAAAAAACACACAGCCTTTTTCTTGCTTTTACATTCTTTTTTGTTACTTTTACATATATTCAAAATTCAGTTATTAAATCCTTCTTCCAATTTAAATTGTTGTTGTCTGTTGCCATATGCGTTAAGTGGTTGTCCGTTTTAAAGGAGGGACAAGGATCTTTGTAAGTGCTATAATGGCACTCTCTCTGTCTCATAAATATTTGCATACTGCTAAAGTCCACTTAGATTAGCCAACGTCGATTTATGCTTTTACTTAGCTTGCCTCATGGGGGTGGTGTTTGAGAGCAGTGGACCACGACTTTTTGAAACCACCATAAAAGATGACACATTTACCTCTTTCTAATACTTTGTGGTAAATCCACTAAATGCTTCTCATCAATTGCTGAAACACTTTCTTTGTGAAGAAATACGATGGAGGTCATTACAACTAGGAAATTTAGTATTCATGTGGCAAACACTGCAGTAGATTGCAATAAAAATAAATTAAAGTTTTTTTTTCAATATTATTTTAGTGCTACAATTAAAATGTCTTGCATCGCTGAGTAATTATTCTTAATCTTGTGAATTTAAATTCTTAATCTGGGCATTTGCAAGGAGTTCTGTTTCTTTCACTGTCATCATGACACCTCTAGTACATTTTACTAGGCATAAATATAAAGATTAAAATCACAGTAACACTGTTTTATGGGAAATGACTCTGTTTCCGGAGCTCCCCTCTGGTTTTTTTCTTTGACTGCATCGCCTTTGGACGTGGCTTTGAACGACATGTAGCGACACATGTGGTTCGTCCAGGAAGTGCTGCGGGGAGACTATCAGGAGATGGCAGCTGTATTTTTCGCACTGCCTACCTCTGTGCATGGGTAACTGCAAGCCCCCCCACCCTCCCACCCTCTCTCTCCGTGAGATCCAGTTGGAACTGGAAATTTCTGGCCAGTGCTGGCTGCCTGCCCACTCCCACAGGCCAGGCTCCGTCAGCAGCACTTCCGGGAGTGTCTGAGCGCAGGAGGAGAAAGTGAGAAGGACACAAACAGCAGAGGGCCTAGAAAGCTGAGACAGACATGGGAATTGTCTGAGTAGGTGCATGAGGCAGGCAGAAATGGGCAACTGTGCTTTTTTTTCTTTTTTCCCCGCTTCACGGATTACAAGATGCTCTGTATAACAGTGAAATAAAGAAGAAAAAGGTGTGCAATAGAGGATGTTTTTTTTTTCTTGGGCCATTTTCAGTAGTAATAGTTTAGTAGTAGTAGTTTGCTATATACTGCATTGCAAGAACTTTCCCGCCATCTATACGTTTAATCAGAAATGTGTGTGCTGTTTTTCACATTGTTTTTAGAATTTGGAGAGAAGAAGCAGTTTTTTTTGTCTTTGAGTGAATTTCACAAAATTATGTCATCATGCCATTTTGACTTTGAAGTATGAAACCCTAAACAAATATTCCTTTATTTTTTATAACACATTCCAGCAGTTTAAGGTGCATGGTGCCCTGTGTTCCTGTTTGAATCTGTCCTAATAAAACCGTCTGCAGCTGAATTTCATTAATACTCAGTGAGACCAGTCCATTGTGTGTAAAAGGCACGAGTTGACTCATGGAAATTGACAGCGGTGCTTTCAGGGTTTTACAAATAACCAAAACGTTTTTGTTTTTTTTTTTTTTTTTTTTTTTTTGCTTAACAGGAATAAAAAAAGTTCTTATTGTCCTGTGTTTGGCTTTATTTATTGAAGTAACATTTAATAAAAGCACACACACACCAATTCCCAAAAAATGTCAACATAGGGTCAGTTACAAAACAACTTAAATTAAATGCTGCTAATTTCCATTCAACTCTGTTGCAGTTCTATTCAGCAAAGTCAGATTTTAATCAAACTCACTTCAATGTGTTCTGTTATAATCCGTCTCCGTAGACTCTGTTTCAAATTGGTACAAAATACGATTTTGTCTGTCTAATGAAGCCGGCAGATTGGATTGAGTCATTTTACTTTATGTTCTTGCTTTGCCGCAGTGATTCTAGCAGTAGCTCGAGTGATGACTCTCCAGCCCGTTCAGTGCAGTCTGCTGCTGTCCCTGCACCCTCAGCTCTTCCTTTATCCTCCCTTGACAAAGACGAACCACGTAAAAGCTTTGGCATCAAGGTCCAAAATCTTCCTGTACGCTCTACAGGTAGGTAATGTTGTGTTGCCAGAATAAATAAAACCTCTTTTATGTAGAATAACGTGTAATACGTAGTCTTGTGTTTGGAAAACATAGCCATCTGCGACAGTTAAGACAATTTTTAACTTGTGCCTCATTTAAATTTGCCTGCTACAGATACAAGCCTCAAAGATGGTTTGTTCCACGAATTCAAAAAGCATGGAAAGGTTACATCGGTGCAGATCCATGGGGCTTCAGAGGAGCGCTATGGACTCGTCTTTTTCCGCCAACCAGAAGATCAAGAGAAGGCGCTTTGCGCCTCCAAGGGGAAGCTGTTTTTTGGAATGCAAATTGACGTCACAGCCTGGAATGGTCCCGGTGAATTTTCAGTTTGTCCTGCTATGCAAAAATAATACTAAAAACAGAAAGATTAAACAATGAAAGTAACTCACTACAACTTTCTGTCCTTTCAGAGACAGAAAGCGAAAATGAATTTCGACCACTGGATGAGAGGATTGATGAGTTTCATCCAAAGGCCACACGGACATTATTTATTGGAAACTTGGAGAAGACTACCACTTACCATGACCTGCTAAACATCTTCCAACGTTTTGGAGAAATAGTGGTAAGCTTTTTTTTTTTTTTTTTTTTTTCCAGTTAGAAGCTCAGCAAAATAGTTGTTTACTGACCGATGTGTCTCTTCACTGTTTCCTAAGGATATTGACATTAAGAAGGTGAATGGAGCCCCACAGTATGCCTTTCTTCAATACTGTGACATTGCAAGTGTTTGCAAAGCAATGAAAAAGATGGATGGCGAGTATCTTGGTAACAACAGACTAAAGGTGAGCCTTATAGTGATTTAATTTTGCAATTTTAGTATGTTTCTGCTTCATCTCAAATTCCAACTTGATATTTTATCTCATTTTCTCCAGCTGGGGTTTGGAAAGAGTATGCCCACAACTTGTGTTTGGTTGGATGGTCTGGCTTCAAATACAACAGAACAGTTTCTCACTCGCCATTTTTGCCGCTATGGGCATGTTGTCAAGGTAAGCATGTTTGGTTTTGTACCCTACTACCACCTTTGTGATTTTTGTAAAACTAGATCTGTTTCCCCGATGGCTTACAGGTCGTACTTGACAGAATGAAAGGAATGGCCCTTATCCTGTACAACAACATTGAATACGCCCAAGCAGCAGTCAAAGACACAAAAGGTTGGAAGATAGGGGGCAATAAAATTAAGGCAAGTGGAAATATAGCTGCATTCGAAACTCATTTTCTGGACTTATCTCCAGATTTGTTGATTAATTTTGCTTCTGGATTTTGTGTTTCCGTCTTCAGGTGGACTTTGCAAATCAGGAAAGTCAGATGGCGTTTTATCGTGCAATGCAGGCATCTGGGCAAGATATTCGTGACTTTTATGAGTTTCTTTCTGAAAGAAGGTCTGTATCTTTTTGTTCTTTGAGAAAATTTGACTTCAGTGCCGTTTCACCCTCAAAATTAAAACAGATTTTGTTTTGTTTCTCTCGACAGAGATGACAGACGAAGCCAATATGAGTTTCAAACAGAAAGACAGTATTACGAGAATGTTCGAACACCTGGAACTTATACGGATGATCCGCGGCGGAAATACCCCGCCAGAAGTCGAGAGTTCTACACTGAATGGGACCCGTATCAAGGAGATTACTATGATCCACAGTACTTTGAGGACCCAAGAGAGTATCGGGAATACAGAGCTGATCCTTATGAGCAGGACATTCGCAAATACAGCTACTTGCAACGAGAGCGAGAAAGAGAGAGGGAGCGATTTGAAACGGATCGTGGTCGTGATCATGGAAGAAGGACCATTGAGCGTAGCCAAAGCCCTTCTCACATCTCCACTCGACGTCCTGTCAGCCCCACCTCATCGCCTTCGCTCTCTGAGAGAATACCAAGTGACTCAGACAGGCGAATTTGTTGTCGATCATCTGACAGAAGTGGCAGCTGCAGTTCGGTTTCCCCACCCAGATTTGAAAAACTGGAAAAGGCACGCGCTGAAAGATATAATAAAACTGATAAACTGGAGAAGGATCGTGTTTTTGAAATTGAGAGAGTGAGTCTGGTTGAAAAGGAGAAGAGAGCGGGGCGAAAAGAGAGAGGAGACAAGGAAAAAAGCGAGAAGCAAAGGCTTAAGAAATTTAAAGTCACATCGCCTACAACGCTGGATATAGAACCAGAAATTGAAAAAGACACTAGCCCTGAGTCTGGACTACGGAGTAAAACCAGTAAAACTTCAAAAGAAAGCTCCAGCAAAGCAAGGCTAGATCTTCTGCCTTGTGTAGTGCAGTTAACGCGTGTCAAAGAGAAAGAAGGAAAATTGATTGGTCATGCTGTCCAAGAAAAGCAAACATTGAGGGCTGGCAGTGACAGTCCTAAATTGGCATCGCCTGGAGCTGACCAGAGAAGTCCTACATTCCGCTCAGAATCATCCAAAGGTGACAAGCATGGGAAAATGCCTAGAGAAAAAAATATACACAGCTTAATAGAGATTGCTGAAAAGGATGGTAAAATCAAATCCAAAAAACATGGAAAGTCTGAGTTTGGATTTGATAACAGTGTTTCTCTGGATGTTGATCGTTTAGCTGCAAGAAAAAGGCGATTTGAAGAATCTGTGAGAACCGATCGACAAAGGAGATCTAACGAAGAAGACACTGGTAGAGCTGGACTGTACAAACTGTGGAACAACACAAAGGAGATGGGATTGGAGAAAGTTCTTTTGATAAGAGGGGTGCATAAAAAAGAACACAAGGATAGAGCTGTCTGTGTAGTTTCAGTAAGCAGTCCTAAAGATGGACGGGACTGCGAAGGCAAATCTCTAGGTCTGCCTCTGGAGGGGCAGTCGCATTTTGGGGAGCTGCTTGAAGATTCTGCATCACAACAGAACTCTCCCTTCCTTAGAATGGATTTGGAGACTTTAAAAAGGGAGAACGGCTCCAGTCTCACAAAGATATCAGATGACAGCAGCTTTGACATGGATGAATTAAAAGAACAGAAGCAGGTTTTGTCTGAAAATGAGGAGGGAAGTGCAAAGTGCAGAGACTATGATGGGGATGAACATTGTGTGAACATTAACCAGTCTGTTTGTGTAAAACAAATTGAGCAAGATCGATGGCTTCAATCCAAGCTTAGGGATCCTGATAAAATGGCCAAGTTTGGAAAGTCGCCAAACAATGAGGCTTGTGATTCGGAAAAAGAGTATATCCTGCATGATGTTGGGAAAACAAATCTGGACATTGCCCATGATGACTTCTCTTCTAGTAAACGAAAGAAATTGGAGAATTTTGAACATGAGGTTCTGAAAGTAAAACGAGAGCATGACTTTCCAAATTCCCAGGAATTCAATAAAGACATCTACAGCATGTCATCTTCTATAGGAGCCGGTCCGTCTTCAGAAAACGAAGACGATGAGACTTCCCGCATTTGTCTGTTAATTACAAAAAAGGAACAAAAATCGTCTCCAACTGATGAAAGCTATTCACGCACAGAATCCTTAAAAAATCATTTCAGCTTGACAGCCAGAAATTTCCAGTCTTCTAACAGTGCACACCCGAAGCTGAAAACATCCTTACTTGGATTTGATGATGACGTAATGCAACACTGGGAGAGGAGAATAAAGTCAGATTCTCTCAGAATGGAAATGACATTCCCAAATGATACTCTAAAACGGGAAAATATTTGCAAACGCCTCAGTCAGGACTTGGAACCAGGAGAGTTGCAGTCTGATTCAGATGATGATGGAGACAACAAACACATTTCTCACAAACCAAGCAGTTCTTTGTCTTATATCCTCAGGGATCGTGATGAGAGAATGACTGACCTCAAGCTTTCAGGCTCCTTGGAGAAAAATAAGTTTTACTCATTTGCATTAGACAAAACAATAACTCCTGACACAAAAGCACTCCTTGAAAGAGCCAAGACTTTGTATTCCTCAAGGGAAGATAATTGGTCTTTTCTTCCCTCACGCTTTCCAGTGTCTCATAGTTGTTCTGAAAAAGACAAGGCAGTGTTAGCGCCACGCCCTATTCCTTCTTGGTACATGAAAAAAAAGAAGATCCGTACTGATTCTGTGGAAAAGTTGCATGATAAGAAGGAAGAACTCAAGCCACAGGACCAAGAGCGTCAGGAATTATTTGCCTCTCGTTTCTTGCACAGCTCCATCTTTGAACAGGACTCACGTCGACTGCAACGTCTTGAACGCAAAGACCAAGACTTAGAAACTGGAAGTGGTAGGCCTTTTATCAAGGCTGGTGCTATAGAGACACATTCAGAATCTGGAGGAGCTGATGTTCCAACAGAGCCTATAGTGCTTTTCCATAGTCGATTTTTGGAGCTTCAGCAACAAAAAGACAAGGACCACAATCTACCTGACTCTGAAAGTGACCCAGTATTGTTGGAGATGAAAAAAGATGAAACTCTGAGCTGTGATAATGTGATATCTGACAAGGAACCAGAAGCTCCCCTAAAGGCTCGTGACAAATCACCCAGCCCCCCAATAACTATAAAAATGTCAGCATTCCTCCCTTCCCCCAAGGAAACATGCCTAGCAGAGAAGGAAGCTTCAGATCCATCCACAGATCAATCAGTGCCAGTTGTCAAAGAAGAAACGGTTGAGCCATCTCTTGAGATATGCCCATCTCATTCTCCTCCTGTGAATATGATCAGATTAGCTGCTCCTGAGGTACCCATGAACCCCGTACTTTCAGTTTCCGAACCAGAACCTGAAACAGAGTTAATTGAACCCAAAACAGATGGGGATAATAGTTTGGTGGTTGAACATGTTGTAGAAGATAAGCATCACACACCTGTTGTTTCCCCAAGTGCCTGTGAAAAAGAAACAGTGGAATTTGCTTATTCTGATTGTTCAAAGATAGAAAAAACCTCAGAAGTGAGTAAGACAGAGCCTGAAATTGAAAGCCAGGCAATGGAAAGCTTTGAGGACTCTCAAAAAATTGAGACAGATAGTGAGCCGTGTATGCCAGAGCTAGAGGCTGAAGTGAAACCACTACCAGCTCGCAGACAAACCAAGGGTAAAAGGGCCAAAACCCTTTCTGTATTACGTGCGACACAACCGACCAACATTATCAGCAAGGAAAAACCTGCAACGCGGAAAAGTGAACGGATTGACCGAGAGAAACTCAAAAGGGCATCGTCTCCTAGAGCAGAAGCACCTAAATTATCATATGAATCTAAAACTACATCCAAGTCTCCAATACATGCATCTGATTCAGAACAAAACCTTGAGTCGAGTTTAATTGTTGGGAGAACACGACGGAGGAACGTGAGGTCAGTCTATGCCACTCTACATGACGATGAACAAGCTGGGAAGGAAGTAACAGAGTCCCCCCGCTGCATGCGCAAACGAGGAGCCGACAAAGACCAGATACAACAAGAGGTTCAAATTTCTACCAACACTAGGCGGGGACGCCCTCCTAAAAGAGGTGTCAAACGAGTTGCAGATATATCACCAGTAAAAGGGGATCAGAAGAAAACAGTGGAAGCAGACACAGAGGCCAGAGAGACATCAAATACTGCAGAAGTTGTGAAAGCCTCTGAGGGATGGCGTTCACCTCGTACACAAAAAGTCCAACAAACTTCACTGACTTCCTCTACTCCAAACAAAAAGGGAAGTAGAATAGACAAATCATCTGGGAACAAATTTGTGTCAGCAGAACAAGCTGATCCATCGAGCAATGATGAATTAGAACTTAAGCCCAAAGCTAGCTCAGAACCCACTGGCAAGCCATTAGACAGGGCAGAAAGTGAAAGCTCACCTGTGCTCAGAAAAGAAAAAGATACAAAAGATTTTGTCGAAAAAATATCCGTTGATCCAGAATTTGACATTAGCGCCTCTGAGAGGGGCAAACAGCCTGAAAAAATTTTAAAAGTTAAAACACCAAGGTTAAAACGAAATACTAAACAGATAACTGAAGACAAATCACACACTCTGAAAAATCTCGAAATCCGCGTAAGCGTTGATGACGTAAAAAGCCTACTTCGCTCTGAAGATCTTGAGTCAGATACGTTTGCGGCTAATATTACAAAAGGCAAGATTATAGTAAAAGAGAATGAAGAAACAAGGATGGCAGACTTTGCAAAAGATACCAAAGAAATGACTACACAAGATGATGAAGACACGCTATCAGAATCTGAAGCTCCTGCTGATCCAGCTGCTGTTCTTTTAGCACGACAGATGGAACTGGAGCAGGCAGTCGAAAATATTGCCAAACTTACAGCTGACCAGCCTCCAAGACCTGATAAAGAACCACCCCCTGGTCCACCTACTGCATTGCCCCCTGTCATAGCGGAACCAGAAGTTGAAGTTGAAGAGGAGAAGAGAGAAAATCCTGCAAGTGAAACAGAACTAGCTGCTGCTATTGACTCCATCACAGCTGAAGAAACCTGTGGGGATGCAGATGGCTTCACGGCTGCTCCTACTTACTCTGCTCTTATTCCTACACCTGAATCTGTAATTTCTTCCTCATCCTCCTCCAATGACATCATGGAACCGGAAACACATATGGCAATCAATAATATCCTTGCTGGAGATTTGGATGATGACTCTCGAACCTCAAGTCCCAAAGCATCGATGACAGAATTGAAGACAGCTGATGAACCCATTCTTCTTGGTACACCCAAGAAGACAATTAAATCTAGAGCCAGAACCCCAAAGAAGTCAAGAAATCGTAAAGGTCCAGCTAGCAGAAAGGGGGACACTGCTGATGAAGTCTCTCAGTCAGAGCCCTCACCCGTAAAGTTACCCGAGTCAATTCCAGAAGATCCAGAAACGGACTCAAAAGCAGTGACTGTTACAGCTGCAGTTTCTGCAGTGACTTCTGTGGTCACTGCCGTTGCAACTTGTAGACGTGACGTTACAAGTGCTATAACTGTAGACAACCCTAAAGAGGCAGAACAGCCTGAAGTGGAACAGCCTGTTCCCAAAGAATCTGCCTTTCATTTAGGCACAAGCAGCAGTTCTGCGACTAAAAAGCCTCTCCAAACAGCAGAACCAAGTACTCCTACCTTCAGCCCTGCTAATTCATCACCAGTTTCTCAGCTTAGTGTACCCCTGTTGCGACCTGCCAAAATGCCCCTTTCTCCTGACTGGCCTCAGCGATCTGAAGAAAGCAGAATCTATGTTAATCCTTCCTGTCATGTCACAGTAGTAACTCCCACGATACCTCCATCAACTGCACTCGGAACGCCTACAGCAAATCCCCCAATGCCCCCTGACACCAAGGCTTCTGACATTGATCCAAGTTCCAGTACCCTGAGAAAAATATTAATGGAACCTAAATATGTGTCTGCGTCAAACAGCAATTCTATATCTACCACTATGGTGTCATCGGCACTGTCGGATCATTCAAGGATGTCAGAGAATGAAAATCCCACAGATACACTTGTTTCAAGGCATTTAAATTCTGAACAAAGACCACCTCTACCTCCCAAGTCACTGCACCATAAGCCAGCCCCCCTCACAGAATCCCAACAGAACTGTGGGGAAAAGAAGCCGCATACAATTATGTCTCCTACTACCTCAGTCATAAGTAGAATTCCAATGCCTTATGATACAGAAGAAACCCCACGAATTTTCCTAAGCAATCGAAGCATTGGCCTGACCATTCCAAAACAGAAATTTAGATCAAACTCCAATGAGAATAACCGCTGTCATAATGTGGAGATAGCAGAAGATGTTTCTAGAGGGCGGTCTGTTGTTGAGCCGACTCCTTACCATACGGGTTCTAGCCCTGGCTTGAGGGTAAATACATCAGAGGGTGTTGTTGTTTTAAGTTATTCTGGTCAAAAGACAGAGGGACCACATAGGATGAGAGCCAAAATTAGTCAAATTCCTGAAGCCAGTGCTGGTGATATAGAGTTTCAACAATCTGTGTCCAAATCCCAGATAAAGCAAGACCCTATCATCACATCTTCTCAGTCACCTAACCCCAAAGTATCTTCAGCTCCTACTGGTTATGGGCATCCTGGGGTCCTTTTAACCAATCAGTCTTATAATTCTCAACCGATCATTTCCAGTATCAAGCAAGATGTTCATGGATGCGACAAGTCTGAAGCTCCCTACCATACAACATCACCAGGTGTGGTGAAGATGTTCCAGTCGCCTGTTAGTTCCTCTCAAGTTTTGATGTACAATCAAGCTGTAATCCAGCAGCAGCATGGCAAAAGAGGGCTAGTGACGGATACATTAACAAAAAAAATGGACATTAGCAAAGCTGTTCAGCAATCTAACTTGAGCCCAGTCATGAGTCCACACCACCCATCTATTCCTGGAACACGAATGAGTCCTAGTCCCGGCAACACAAATGATAGGTCTGCTTTACATCTCAAGCAAGAACCTCAGTCTCCACGAACAGCTGGTCATTCCCCTTCACCCTTTGTCAAAAGCTGTCCACTAAGCAGCTCTCCCATTGGAACTTCTGTGGTTTTAAGTCATGGCATGCCAACGCTGTCTACATACCCTTCTAGCATGCATCACTCCCACCCAGAACAGTCCTCTGTCATAATGCAATCTCACAGTGTCACTCAGTCGTTAGCTCATGAATCCAGAATGAATAACCCAACAATGCCAGGGATAAACTATGGAAGGCGAGGAGGCTGCCTACCTTCTCAGCACCCAGGATCTACAAAGAGCTCAAATACACCACAGCCTGTTATTCGAGATATGGTTTTGCAGTCTCATTCAAGTCCCCAAAGGTCAATGTCAGGGAGTGGTGGCAGCAGTGTAAGTGAAGAAGAGCCAAGACACTTTAACCAAGCTCTTAGTCGACCTTCAGTTCCCCATTTACAGTCAGATGTTATGGTGGTTCACAGTGACCACAGAGGGCTCCACCCAGGCATCCGCATGGATCAGTACAGAGAAATTCACCAGCGCCTACTCCTGCACCAGCAACTAGGAGAACAGACATCTGTAGAAGCAAGGCAGTCTCGCAACTCAGAGACCGCAATAACATCTCCAAGCAACATCTCTGGGCCATCAAGAAGTCCAATACTGGTAAAGAGCATTGAATTCTCACCAAAAGAGCCTCTCAAATCACCAGAAGGAAAGCTAATGCATTTGAGCCCTAATGAAAGTAGAATTAGAGGAGTCCATGCATCCAGCCCTGTTTTAATGTCTTCTCACCCCCATGGAGTTCAACTAATGCATCCAGGAGGTGCAGGCTCCTTTCCAGTATATCGAGACATGCGGGGCTTCCCTTCCCAGTTCCCAGGACACAATCTGGCCAACCAGGGCATTTCATCTACACAGGTAAGAAACACACTATGATTTTATGATGTGGTAATTTCTGAGGACATTTCTACAGTTAAACCAGAATTGTGTACTGATCTTGGAATGTGATTTGAATTTTTCTTATCAGATCCCGGCGGAGCACGAGTTGGGAAACCGAAGCAAAATATCTCAGTCCCATGGAGGAGGAAATGATTCCACACCTGAAAGCCCACATCTCCGTCACACTACCTCTTCTGAATCTTCACACATTTCTCGAATATCAGGAGAAACAATCTCTCCATCGTACCAGTCCCCCTTGATGTCGCCCATGGGTCTCACTCATAAGCCAGATCTGTCTCTACAGAAAGGCCCTCGCACCTTCCTCCTTACTCCTCCGCCGACAGTAACCCCATCAAGTTCACAACAGCCACGACATGATGCCAAGCTGGAACATTCCGGACATAGGTCAATTGACATGGTGCAGCTTTTGAAAGTAAGAGAATTACATGACTCATCATTATGTTTGTTAGAGAGAGATAATGTAAGAAGGAATAAGAAGAGCACTTAAAATAGACTTTCTACAGTTCCTGTTGTTAGCTGTCATCAATGTCAACATGTGGAACATGAGGCAACATCACACCACGTGTGAGAGACAGCAGCATCTGTATGAAAAATAATTGTATCATTTTAAAACAAAGAGGAAATGAATAAAGAACTGAAATGTTGAATTCATTGTCTAACTTTAGAGGATAGCTCAGTTAGTGAGGTTAGAATTACTGAAACAGCAATCTGTTTCAGCTCTGACATTTTCCAACGTTCCAAATGAAGCACGTTCCTTTGCAGACAGGGGTTGAACTCTCAAAAGGATGAAATGTAGCAACTTTACTGTAGTCTTTTCTGCCTTCTTGTTATCTGCTAAAAGTCTTGCTTTCTTTCAGCATGCCTTTTATTTTGTCTGTGTTCCTGCTAACGTCCTTTATAAACACCTCACTGCTATTCACTCTGAGTCTTCGTCCCTCATTAACAATGACCACACTGAAGGATATGGACCACCTGCCAGCACTTGTGTATCATGCATTCACAGATCTTAGATAAGATTTGAATTTGCAACTCGCTGGTCAGATTTCTCTGTGCCTTCTCAAGTTATCATCATATACAATTATTTTTGGTCTGAAGCAAAGGAGAAGCTATGCTTACAATAACTTCCTGTTTTTTTTATTTTTTGCAGAAGTATCCTATAGTTTGGCAAGGACTCTTGGCGCTGAAGAACGACCAGGCTGCCGTCCAGTTACACTTTGTGTCTGGAAACACCATCCTGGCTCAGCGCTCCCTCCCGCCCCCAGAAGGAGGATCTCTTCTCCGTATTGTCCAGAGGATGAGGCTTGAGGCTTCCCAGTTGGATAGTGTGGCACGCAGAATGACTGTGAGTACCTTATTATTTCAGCTGAGCGCCAGCAACACGGATGAATGAATAAAATACCAGGTGACGCAGCCTTCCAGGTTCCAAAACCAAAAGTTTCCACCAAAGGCCGTCGGGCAAAACAATTACTAAAAATCTCTTACAACTTAACATAATTTTCAAGTTCAAAAAGTGGTAAAAAAAATAATAAAATCATCTTACAAAAACCTCTTGTCTTCACCCCAGAAGTTTGCCAAGCAAAAGCTCCTCCAGGAACCACCCGGTGCGTTCTTAATCACTTAAATTAATATGAGGGTCTAAAGGTTACCAGAGTAATCTGAACAATTCCAAATATAAAACTTACTTATAGATTTTGGTTCTAAACTAAATTAAGTATATTCTAACTGCCCCAATAAAAATTTAATGGATAGAATAACAGTTTGCAAAATTTTACATAAATGGCCACAACAACATGGAGAGAGTTGTAGAACATAAATCTGTCATAAGTCTGTTGTGATGTTTCTTTTTTTCTTTTCAGATGGAAAATGACTACTGTTTGCTCCTGGCTCTACCCTGTGGTCGAGACCAAGAAGACGTCCTTGGTCAAACCCAAGCTTTGAAAAGTGGCTTCATCACTTACCTGCAAGCCAAACAGGCAGCTGGCATCATTAACGTGCCCAACCCCGGCTCCAATCAGGTTTGTTCTCGTTTCAGCTTTTCCCGCCCCTTTTGTCGATGCTGTCGCTTCTCCACTCACACTGTGTTCATCTCTGCAACTACAGGCAGCTTACGTGGTGCAAATATTCCCGCCGTGTGAATTCTCGGAGAGCCATCTTTCTCGCCTGGCTCCCGACCTTCTCAACAGCATCTCCAGCATTTCCCCTCACCTCATGATTGTTATAGCTTCTGTTTAATTACCTCCATTGTTTTTTGTTTGTTTGTTTGTTTGTTTTTCCTGAACAATGCCAACACCAGCCCTTTTGGATTGAACCAGTTTGGAACCTGGAAATGCCTCATCTTTATGAGTTTGACTTCAAAACGACAACAACAAAACATATCTTTCATTTTTTTAGACTCAAGTTTTCTCCTTCACTTCACCAAGTCCTTAAATCACCCTGTGATGATGAATTACAAAAGCTAGACCTTTTTTTAAATAGGACGCAAAGGGTCGAACGGGGATTTTTGATGATCATTTTTGGATTACTGTTTTTTTTTTTCTTTCTGCCATTTTTGGAGGTGTTCTGCATTGCCTTTTTGTATTTCATAACATTCATAAAGCTGTGGATGGAGACCTACAAGTAGGATGTTTTTTACCTTCATAAAAAAGTGATTGTGATTGTTTCCTTTTTTTTTAAAAAAACTTGAGAATTCATTGCACTATGTTGACAAAACTTTATGAACTTTGTACATAATTGTTCATAAATTGATACATGTTATGAATTTATTCTAGTGATCAGTCATGCTTGCCTACGGAATGATGGAGAGTCTTCTCAGCTCCATCAATCACAAAGCTTTTCCTCCGACACCATCTGCAAGTTTCTGCGACATTTCCGATCTCATATTTCCATCGCGACGTGTTCCCTGCCCCAAGGAACTCATGATGGGATCCGTAGAGTTGTATATTTTACACGCAATGCCTCAATAGGGGACAGTAAAAAAAAAAAAAAAAAAAAAAGAGAGACTTATTTAATTTGTTCCTTTTCATTCATTTGCATCTTCTGTATGCCTAAAGGTATTGTGGACAATTGTGAGCTGTAGATATTGTAAATATTGAAAGACTGAAGCAAAAATGGAGAGACCAAGCAAATTATTTTACAAGACAGATCGTGTTTTCAATGTTTCTTTAAGTATGCTGTCTCATTGTTTTCTTATTTATTTTTTAATCATTTATTGTTTTTAGCCGGGGAAGAATGTGAATCGGAGGGAGTCAGAAGGGGATTTGCAGAGAGAAAGAAAAAAAAAAAAGACTTTGTGCCAAAATGTCTAGCGAATGATCATTATGTGCACGTGTTTGGAAAAAAAAAAGTGATCTGAACCTATTTTCATATTTAAATTAGTATTTTGCTGTTCAGAGGGCACATTGATTCATTTTTAAATATTTTGTTTATTGACATGATTCTAATACTGCAGTGCTTTTTACACAACAACGAAGCTGCGTTTTCATTTGAAGGAACTTTTTGTACTGTAGAGGTTGGCGTTTTTTTTGTTTTTGTTTTTTGCCTTTAGTCATTCCCCACGTTGTCCTGTACTGCCCCCTGGTGTCTGAAACCCATCCCCTTAATATATGGAAGTCTGCATACTAAATTTATTCATGCCACTACTTTATGTCACCGTCACTTGTTGTATAGCATGCTTTATTTTCATATCTTAAATTGTAAGGTAGGATCATAAAGGCAAAGAATGTGACTTAAACTTGACGTTATGCCGCTAATGGATGTGTTGATCATCTGTCTCCATCCTTCCTCCTGTCTGTCTCCTAGAGCCGAGCTGTAAATACCCACGTCTCTTATCTGTGCTCCCGTGTAGCTGCCCCCCCACTCCCTCCCTCTCACTTTGCAGTTGTCTTTATTCAGGGTCTTTATTTTTGTTTTGTGTAACAAAACAAAGCAGTCTTTAAAAAGAGACGGGAGATGAAGCGCGTGAAACCGATGCTGAAAGTAAAAACCATGCTTGTCAGTTTTGTGATGTAAATATTTCTATGACTGCAAGCTGAAAACTCATGGTTATGTTGAAGGCACTTATAATTTTTGATATACAAATGAAAGAAGAAAAAAAACAGTCTTAAAACAGTGATTAATATGAAAAAATGTCTTTTGATCAACCTTCATTTTGAGTGTATTTTGCTGTTCCTCCATGAGGACATTTTAAACTGTAACATAAATGGTTGTTTAACTTACTTCTGAAGATCATTAAATGGTCCATGACTCTGCATTTCATTTTTTTTTGTGTTCCTCAGAAATCCTCCTTTCTGCAACGTTTAATGTAGAGTGCTTTGAAAAGTGTTTGCCTTGTTACGTTTTTCATCTGTTTTTAATTTTTTATAGATAATCAGAAATTTGCATACCAGGCAAATATAACAAGAAGTAATACGATACGAACTTTTTCACTGATGGTTTCATTTGGTAAAAACAAAAGCTATTCAAACCAGCGAGCATATGTGAAAAAATAATGGCACTCTAAGTTTTTTACCCAGTGTCACCATTTGAGGCAAAAATTGCCATTTAGTCTCCTTTGATAAATGGTAATGAGCTGTCCCTCACTTCGCAGAACAGTTTTATTTCGGCCATTTTGTACAGTTTTAACCAAAAGTAGCCAGTTTAAGGTAATGCCGCACCATTACAACATAATTTTACTGTAGACTTTGACTGGGCCACTCTTAAACCAGTCCTTTTTGTGCCATTTTGAAGTGAACTTACTGGTGTTCTTTGGATTATTACCCTGCTTCATAAACCAAATAGGCTTCAAGCTGCTATTTAAAGTTTGGGTTAACCCTTTGAGGTTCACACCAAAAAAAAAACCCGTCAATAAATTTTTATTTTCTTTTCATTTTTTATTCCCTTAGATCAGGGCAATCCTGGTCCTCGAGGGCCGGTGTCCTGCAACTCTTAGATGTCTCCCTGGTCCAACATACTTGAATCCAACAGCTAAATCACCTAGCGCTATAGAACCAACTGCAACTGCAGTTGTGAGGCATCTAAGTCCTTTTGTTTATGGTGATACACAACAAAGCACTGGGAGCGGGCATCCGGGCACCGTTCTTACACTTAAGTGGCAAGTGTCCAAAGTTGTCATAAAATGAAAATGAATAAATTGGCGCAAGAGCTTAAATCTTTTTCTTGGAATGATATCAGCTATCAGGTGGTAACGTGAATCACGGTGGCAATAATCCTCCATGGCTGGGAAGCTGAAAACACTCATGAAGATCAGCATCGCAAGGAAATTTTCAATCTCCACAGGGCTGCAGTTGATTGCCCAGAAATGGGGGATCCAGAGTAAAGGTTGTTGTGCTGAGCAATATGGTGAATTGTCTCATCAGTGAAGTGTCTTGAGATACTGCAAGGGTGTCTATACAGAATCAGGAGCTTCAGATACAGAATCAGGAACAATTCATCAATGTCTTTATATCTCCATGTCCTGGGAGTTGCATTCTTTGGGTGTGGAGGTGAACAGGAGAGTCAGCTGGTTTGGTTTCTACAGTTTTTTTCTTTACCAAAAACCAGCCTCCTCTTATGGGCTGCTGGTTTTGAAGATGGGCTAGTCTCCTCCTCGCTCATGGACTCAAAAGAAGTTTCGTCTTCCTCTTGTGTAGGATGACAGTCAGGATCTTCTATGTGGTCATCATCATCGCTCAGATCAGGATAAGAATCGCTCAGGCTGTTATGGCATCAGAGCCTGATTTGTGTGTCCTTTCACCATAAAAAAGGTTTTGCTAGTATTTGTTGATAAAATCGAAGAAGAACAATGTGACAATTTAGGCATGTGCATCAGTAAATAGGTTGGAATATGTCAGTAAGTGATACATTAGTAGAAATTAATTTTTTAGAAATTTATTTGACCTTCATAAAAAAAACACCATAATATTACTATATAATGTTTAGTAAAACCTTTGACATTGTACTACGTTGAAAATGTAAGCTTACCTGTCATATTTTTTGCAACCTCCCCCCCCCCCTTGTTAGCACCTCATCTCATGCAAACTTCTTGTGAGGAAGGTTCTTGAACAGGTCAAAGCTTTAGTGACACAGTGCCATCTAGTGGAATTTTTCCGGTACTGCAGGAGTAAACCAATTAGTAGAAAAGGCTCAATAAGGTAGGTCAAGTTTAATTCATGCCTCAGTTAGACATAAGGTCACAAATTATACTCTACAGATTATTCTCTGGTTGACCATAACGCTAAAGGCTTCAGGCCAAATGGTGCTTTCAGAAGTCTTTCTGCTTCTTCAACACATCTGAGGCTACGATCTCCTTAGAGATCCTTAGAGATTGTGGCTACAATCTGAGGTGGTCATTCATTTTTTGTATGGGGGATACATCTAAAAGTTATAGGAAAGCAACACTACTGCCTATACCATCATACTGCTACAATCTCCATTAGATTTAGGTTAGATCAGATGTAACAGGTTTCATGCCTTCCAATAAGTTCAACATTTTTCAGTCCACAGAATATTTACCAAAAGTTTTGAGGATCATCAAGACGTTTGTTGCAAATAGATTGGCATTTCAGTTCCTTCAAATCAGCAGTGATTTCTTTTTTGTTTTTTCATCTTTGAAACTCTTCTATAGAGTGCTTTAGATATTGTTCTGGGTTCTTTTGTGACCTTCTAGATGAGTTGTTGATGCAGTCGGTCTTGGATAAATTCACTGGACTCAAACTCTTTCCAGACTGAAATGTCAATCACCTACTTTCCCGTCTGATCTTTTAGCCTCGTCTGACAGGTTCTGTTGAAGTGATTTTATCTTATTTTACAGGTCAGACAGTAATCCGGCCTGGGCTTGGCTAGTGATTTCCAATAAATCTGGTTAAGTACAGTTAATTCGTGATTTAACAAGGGTGAAGCAATTTTTTGTTTCTCATGGCCTGCTTTTATTTTTTTTTCTCTACATGGTATTAAATTAAATTATTTCATACATTTTGTTTTTACTCAATCTCCGTTTGTCTGATATTCAAATTTGTTTGATGATGCGAAACATCTGAGTTTGGCAACGACTTTGATGTTGAAAAAAATCTGTAAGAGGGCAAATAACTTTTTCACTGTACTGTATGACACATCTATTTAAAACTGAATAATCTTTGTGTCTTGAATGTTTATATAGTTTGCTACCAATTTCATTGGTGGGTATTAAGCATTACCAGACCAGTGCATCACAGTCAGAGCTGCAGTTTCTCCGTCTATCAGAAGATGTCAGTACGGGACTGAACAGCCATGTTTCCAGTTTGGGAAGTTTTAGAGCTTCCCAAGTTTGGGAAAGAAATCTACTGCCATCTCAGTTTGACTTCAGAAGGTGTTTGGACAAAATAGACCTGTCTGACCTTTGAAATAATTACATTTCTATGCACGCATTGGAGGCAAAACTAAATAAATGAATAACAAATGTATATTTACACCTATTAGTTTTGCTCTTCATAAATTAGACACTCTTCATGAAATCTGAGTAAAAATTGTGAGTTGTACCTTAATGCTGCAATTTAAGCCACTTATTTAAAGAGGACACACTTCTGTATTATTTGTAAGTTAAAAATAATTACTTATTTAATTTAAACTCTTGTTTCAAATGGCATGAACAACATTTCTGATCTGATAATGAATTTTATTAAACATCACAATGAATTCTGCTCAAAACCATTCAGTGTGAACAGGATGTCATCCTCACGCTTTGCAATCTGTCAGCTGCATTAAAGACAAACATTTACCTTAATATCTCACAGTGTTAGTGTAGCAGAAGAAAACTGTGATCCTGTCTCAAGCAGCCAAGATGGCCGCCGCAGAAAGACAGGAAAAACAAGTTTTTTAAAAATAAAGCATATTTCTGCAGTGTGACGGAATATTAGGGACAAACTAAGAAAATAAAAACCATGAAAATGGTTCAGCCATCTTAGATCTCAAGATGGCTGAAGCTGAAAGTGCAACAACTTCATTTTTAGTTCATTGATACAGTAAAATG